AACCTGTTGACTTGGCCAGGCCGACCCGCTGACCTGGCCGGGCCGACCATTCAAAAAATTACTGGCCCGTTTTGCATTCGATGTCTTGGGACGATGCCGCCACGTTTGAGACCTCTTCGTAGTTACGGCTTGAAAGCATACACATTCATTTAATAACTTGTCCTGGCTCAATGTCATGGCCCGACGTAAATTTTGGGGTGGATCGCCATTGTTTAATTGCCTTGCGTCAACCATTTTTAGTTTTCATGCAAATTACTGAAGACTCAACACGTTTCATTGCGTGGTCGTAAGCGTGGCGGTGGTGGCGGCCGGTAAGACCAGAAGCAAGTTCCGGACTAATGACGGGTGGGTCGCGGGACAGGCAGTGTAACGTGGTGTGGCCTGCTGCGCTGTGCCTCTTAACGAGGCCACCATCCCCTGTTGCCCCGCGTAGGTGATGTTAAATTCAAGGAGAAGGCTTCTATTTTGTGTATATTGCGACCATCTGCAACAGTGGTCTAGAAATTTGTGGTGTACATCAATGGGTTATAGGGCGACATTCGCATTTCCTGCTACCAATCTACGGACAGATTCTAGGTCTACTTTAATACGGTCGTGGGCGGACAAATGGTGAATTATGCCCCTAGCTTCGCACGATGATTTTATCGTATTTCTGAGAGCTAGGACTGTTGCAGGACTCCTGGATGGACGCACGACTGACCCGACACTCCGAGACCATCGCAGCACATCCATACGCGTCAACTGCATGCGCTCGTGCAGAGAAACCCGCTAGCTGTCGAGCGCGACCCGACTCCCGAACGCAATCCTTGCTCCGCAGGTCGGCATCGCGCGTCATGTTCATGGCTCGCCATGCATCAGTCAGCTGCGAGACACGCCGGTGTTCGTCACGCCGGCCGACCTCTAGACCCGGCAGCGATAGATATGTATTTGGGAGCTTCCACAGAGAGGATTTTCTATCTTTCACATCGGTGTATGTGCAAAAGTCACTGAAGATAAAACAGATGACGCAGATGAACGTGGCACACTACACGGCAACGTGTGTTTACCTATTTGACAAACAGGGAATCAAAAATGTCCTACAGATCGCGTTGCTCGCGGTCGCTGTCGCCCGCACCTCTGCAAGCAGCAATTCCACTCGCTCGGTGCGCGAAATAAGGAGCGACGCCAAAACTCATTGCGGACACGTGGCAACTGTTGCTGCTCCACAGCCGTTGTTCGAGTGGCACCGGCGGACGCGTCATAGCGGCGCACTTCACGCTACCCTGGCATCTCCGGTGCGTAGACAGCTGTGAGGATATTACGCAAGACTATAATATCGGGTTCAGAGGTAAGTTCGTCGACTTTTGAGGCATCCTAGTTCGCGCAGCGAGAGCGTCACTCGGCCTCGGCACGTGGCATTGCATGCGGTGCGGGTGCCCAAGGTCGAAACCTTTTGCACCCGTCGTTACCGTGTCACGTTGCAGCCCCCCCCCCCCCCCCTCCCACACCGTACAGTGTCGTGCACGGGGACAATGCCGATCAGTAGCCGTTTAGTTTAGTTGGAAAGACTAAACGGCTACTGACTTGAGAAGACTAAACGGCTACTGACTTGAGAAGACTAAGCGGCTACTGACTTGGAAAGAGTAAACAGCATTCTCACTGGACTCGCATCCTAGCGAGCCCAGAATGCCGTGGCAGCAGCGTGCTACAACTGATTTGGTCTTCTCATGAAAGACAAGAATCGATGCCGACGCCCAGAATTTGGACGCTTTGTGGGGGTTCAATCTCATTGTTTCTAAATGTGACTGAAAACTGCTGATCGAGTTTTAGCCGGTGGGATCTAATTATGACCATTTTTATCTTGAGATGAAAAATCTTCCAGCTGTTTTGGTTAAACCACTCACTTGTCATCGCCAATTTTTCTTTACACGACTTTTGAGCCCAGGAATATCCAAGACTAAGTCAGAGTCCAGAAGTTGAATGTCATCAGCGTACATAATGATCTTTGCACACATCATATGTTGCGTCAAATCCTTGGTAAAAAAAGAGGAAGAGGGCGGACCCCAAAGATTGAACCCTGAACTACTCCGTGTGTCACATCAGGAGCGCTCTACGGGCTCTCGTATCACGACCACCTGGCACCAGGCCGTGGATCGTGACTCTCAGCGACCGCACAGGGCAGGGCTAGGGGTAAACGCAATGACATGCTAGAGCAGAAACCACATGAAAACAATGACAACGCTTACGGAGACCGTCGTTACATAACAAATTAGGCAAGGAAACCCAACTGATAACACACCAATAAATTTACAGTAAAGAAACAGCTAACGCTCAAAAGTGTAATGGCAACGGGTTACAAATGACACCAGACTTCACTGGCATCCAAGGGTGACTGGCGGCGGTGGCACGGCATACGGCTCGGCGCGGCCCGCACGGCTCGGGCCGGCGGCGGCAGCACCACTGACCTGCGATGTACGAGCGGGTAGCCATCGGTTTACTGCTTTAAATTCGGCTCAGGTACGGCGGCCGAGTGCACATGTTCTATCAGGCCATCTTCGTTGGGTCGTAAAATTTGCATACTGCAGGCCAATCGCATATACTGGCCGAGCGCGACGATCATGGGGCGTTCATTCGACGGCGCCAGTGCCAGCTCCTGATATGCAGCGGCCGAAGTCGCTAGTGGTTTCGAACAGGTCAAGGCGGGCAGTCGGCAGGTGCGCGCTGCCTGAGGCGCAGCTACTCCTGCGTGGTAACTGGGCCTTGACCCACGGCAGCGTACATGCCCAGCCTCACGGCAGGACTCCGCGAAAAAGCGGTCTTGCAAATGCAGCTTCTGGGCACCGTGAGGGGCCCAACAGCTGGAAAACGGCGGCGTCAGCCGTGAAAAGAGTTCCTGAACTGATCCAACACCCACCAGTATAACCGGATCAAAATCCTTAAGACGGAAGTCATGGCATAAGACACTGACATTAATGCCATGCGCAAACAATTGAATGATGAAATTGAAGGCATCGACAATAAGCGTCTCATAAAAACATGATGATATGCGCCGGCCTTGGCAAAGTGGAGCAAGGCGAGAACATCCAGGACATGACTCTCGAAGTGCTGAATCTCAGGTTTTCGGACTTGCACATCTCCAGCTCAGACATCCAGACTGTACACCGCCTCCCAAGCGACATTACATTGGTGGGCAAATTTCTGAGATAAGAAATTCGCAATGCGAGCATTTCAACTGATCTGAAATAAGAAATTATACAGCAAACGATTCAAGCGAGCAAACTTTCAAACCACAGCCGCATCACAGACCCGCTAAACTTGAATCACGTCTGACTCTCACCAGATTGGATCTTTATCGTGAGCTGCTTGTTGCAAAACACTCCAAGCGTATGTACACGGTTCTCACACGGCGGGGCACCGTCTTTTGCAAGATTGAGAAAACGTCAAAGGGGTTGACGACAACGTCATATTGCAAAATGTCCTAGCGAGGTGCCCCCATTTCTCAAAACCACCGTCATCAGCAGCTCCGGCGGCCACCTGGCCGGACGCCCCGTGCCGCTCGGGGAGCGCAGCCCGCCTGCGGCCGGCGGTCGGTGCCTTGGGCCTCGCCGGTACCAGGCTGACCGGTGCGGACGGGTCGCGGCCGGCCGCTCGGCGGTCGGTGTCGGGCCGTCGCCCACTGGACGTGCCGATCAGCTGCCGCGGGCCGCGCCCGGCCACTCTGCTGGGGCGCCGGTGTCGGATTAAAGCATCTCTTTCGGCGGGTGAGCATCTTCAGCGACAGCCCGATACGTCGGAGGTCCAGTCGTCGGCGCTCTCTGATGTTTCCGGGGTAGCCGCTGCACTGGATCGACCGGTGGATATACAGCTGGGGGCTGTGTCGCAGGTCGGTGAGAAGACTCGCTTGCCGGACTTACTCATCGTGGCGACGCTCATGCAGGTACACACCAGTAAGGGTGTGGTAAGAAGTTAAGTTTAAAGAAGCGATTGTGACGGACTGTGCAGTTTTCACCCGCTGTGTAGTAATGTGAGGGTTTAAAGCAGTCGTTGATCCAAACGTAATTAAATTTCTTGCTTATTTTAGATATCGCGTAACGTGTGCAGCCAGATGAAGTCAACCATTTACCCCGACACTACTGCTTGGAAGTTATATGCCCGTTTTGTGACCTGCTGACCTTTGAAGTATGTTTGTTTCCAGGTCAGCTGGACCCTGACCGGCCAGACTGACCCTGCGCCCGCCGGCGGTGTAGAGGTGGTCACGCTCCGCTCTCTGCTGCAGACGGCGGTCGCATCGTACCGTGCCGGTGGGTGGGCGCTTTTCCGGCGCGAGCTCGGTCGGGTAGGTCTAGACACCTTTCCGTGAGCATCGACCATAGTCACGCCTTGTCATGTTCTATAAATAGCGCAAATTTCTTTACGGAAGTCCTCGAACATTTGGGAGAATTTAGGTGGATAATATAATACTCGCTGGCTACATGAATTCACTATCGATCCTGACACGGACTGCCTTCTCTACGGAAGGGAAAATAACGTAAACGCAAAGAAAACGTTTATGCTACTGGTCAACAGACGAAGCCTAGCTGACATCTGGAGGTGCATGCACCCTGTCGAGCTTAAACACACTTGGACGCGTAAAAATCCTTTCCAGTGTTGACGTCTAGGTATGTTCTTTGCTATTGACCACGGTATCTCCAACTCCCTCAGTTTATGAAATCTCAGAGGTTTTAAAGTGCCCCCCACCCGAGCGAAGGGCATTCAACCGGCCACCCGAGCGCGTGTCAATAAGGACACTTCAGCTGATGTTGATTTCCTCCTCGATGGATTATTGACGTCCACCAAATCTTGCCGCTGTTGATGCGGATGCTCCTGTTGCTGCCGCCGCTTCTGGTGCTCCTGATGCGCGAGTTGCTGGTAATGCTTCTGCTGCTTGCGCCCTTGCTCCTGTTCCCGGTCCTGCCCCCACCCTTGATGCTGCTGCTGCTGCTGCTGCTGCTCTTCCTGGTGGTCGTGCGAGCGCTGCTGCTGGTGCTCCTTCTCTTCCTGGTCTGGTTCTGCTGTTGGTGCTGCTCCTGGTGGTGCTTCTGCTGCTACTCTTTGTGCCGCTGCTGGCGATGCTGCTGCTGCCCGTACTGCTGCCGGTCGTGCTGTTGTTAGTCGTTGTGCTAGTGTTGCCGATGCTTGTACTGCTTCTCCTCCCCTTTTTTATCTTTCCGTTTTTGCTTTCGCTGCTTCTGCTGCTGCTTTTGCTGGTGCTCTTGCTAATGCTGGTACTCCCGCCGCGCCGCTGGTGCTGCTGCTGCTACCGCAGCAACCATGCTTCGCCGTTGACAACATGCTCTCGAGGGTACCAAAGCTTCTTTGGTTTGATGTTGTAAAGATTTCTTGTCTTTTCCGGTCGGAGGACAACGTTGCGAACAAAATCGCAAACTCTTGTTTGGTATGAGCTCCTTTAAATTCGGTTATCAAGTGGCAGAGCTGCACTCAAAGGTTCTTTTTTTCTCGTCCGCCATGCCAGAGCAAAGCTAGACTAAATTATGTAATGTCCTTCCGATTATGTGGTGAGCTTGCACGCCAATGTTAAAATGGCAGATACGTTTCAGACAGAAATTTTCAAAAACTCGGTACAGTATTTTTTTGTAGGCGACAAGAAAGTCACGATGGAACGCGACCTTCTCAGTTTTAAAAGCAATCCCCCTCAGCTCGCTTGTTTCAAGCCCCAAACAACTCTGTTTCATGTCAGGGCTGACAATTTTCCTCTGTGACCACAGGCCATCTTCTTTGACCTCTGGCGAGATCTTGCTGATCTACAGCACGAAGTTCTGCCGTCTCAGGCCTAAGATCACTTCTGGCTTGGGGTCATCATCCTGCTGGCGGTGTGAAATATGTTTGTTGGTGTGTGAGCCCCGGTAAACTAGCCTAAGCCCTGAG